AAAGAAGTGTTGTTCATTTATTCGACGCACGTGAAACAGCTTCCAAGTAAGTATTATAGTTTCCGCAAAACTTCAGACTCTGCCTGGAGGAAAGATGACCGAATTGGCCTTGTTTCCGAACCGGCTATTCAGAGAATTCAAGGAAGCTCTCTGCGAAAGGATATAACAGTGAAACGGTCTATTATTTTTCAAAGTATGGAATGCACAACCGGTATTACATGTGTCCGAAGCGCAGAGGCATGAGTTGTCGTACCGGTGCCTTGGCATTCTCTTGTAGAGTTGTCCGGGACAATGAGACTTCAAACGCAGCTGTCCTGTTGTTTCAGGAGCGCAACGTCATTGCTACAATCACTTCGAAGTATGGCGCCAAAGACGGCCTCCACCAAAGTATTGCTAGGAGCCATTTCGTCGAATGCTCTTCATGAACAGGGGCACGCGTATGGAGGACAAATATTTGACTCTTTTCTTGCATGAAAGATCATAAATCTTTCAGTACTAACGTACGAGGTTCAGAAAATGCTATCTGCAGAGCCCATATCTCATCTCTGGTGGTGAAGGAGTGGTGGAGTACATGCATGCAAGGGTGATACAAAGCCTGCCTGTTCTCCAGCATTACTTTGCGATATTTCCTTACTATTGCGTCTCAGCCTTTCGCCGTCTAGAGAACAAGGTGCAGAAAGGAATCACTGCATGCCCAGGCGAAGAACACCGATTAGTGATGCCCTCAGGAAGGCACAGGGTATGGTTGCCGGAGGCAAACAAAAGTCTAAGGAAGCGTCTCTAGAATGTCGAGGACTTGTTTAAAGCCCTCATTCACGACTTGGCCTCCCTTCAGACTACCTCCTACTGTAATCGGTAATACCTTCTACTCTGAGTTCCTCCTCCAGGGCGCTCCCAGGAGATAAATAACTATGCTCTCATGTCAGCATATGCAGAGAGCACCTCTCCTACTATGGTCAGAAGAATTGCAGTGCCTGTCCTTCCGGTTCGATTTATGTGTCAGCAGCAGCTGTGTCCTGGCTGGTACGTACCGACTGGCACAAAGCGTCGAACAGAAAAGCCAAGCACACGAAAAATGGCACTGGTGGCCGATCACAATAAACAAAAGCATCTCTTTTTCTGACACTTCGCAGAACAGCTAGCTGGCACCAGTTACACAAGCCACCCGCCGCTGCATGTCAGATGCAGAAGTCTGGTCGTCGCCGTGCGTCCGACAAGAGGAGAAGAACGCCCCCATGCGTCCGTCCAGAGAAGAAGGTCGCCGCCGTGCGCACATGCTGCTGCAGAGTGTTTCAAGATCATCCGTAAATGCCCTTAACATTCAAAAACGCACATGATCGCGACCTGATTGCAGAGGTATTGTAGCTCCTTGCCCAACTGGCTAATCGGCCAGAGGATCTTGGCGCGGTTTCGCAGGTTAGTGATTGATTCCGCTTCTCATTCAGTGGGTGTGGAGGTGGCTAGTTTGATTCTCCTCTTCATTCGTAAAAGCAAAACACCATCGTGCACATATTTTAGCAATCATAAAACCATATTTCTTGTGTCTCTCTCCAGGTAGGAAACACACAATGTCGCAACGGGATTGCAGACAAATCTTTAACCTTTTTCGGGTGCATATCGTCCGCTCTGCTCTCGAGCATGAACAAGGGCTGACAAATGTCTTCCTCTACCGCCATCTACGTCTCAAACACTGTTCCAAAGTTCGTCAGGCCAGAAATGACACGGGCGAGCTATAAATGACTCAGAAAATTTTACAAGCGGCAAAGACCTGGGGCATGCACGACAGTCGGCAGTCTTTGTAGACTCTTCGTAACTGACGTCAGAACGCAACTAGCCGCTGAACTATTCCTTAATAAATAGGCAAGACATACGGTCACAAATGTTAGGGATACCCTCGATAGTACAAGCGCCAAATAATAATACATCAAATGTCATCCCTTCCCAAATCAACATGATATCACTACCTTTTCCCACCTGGGCATATCTCTTTCTCACAGCGATTCTTTGGCTTCAAACAAAAACACTTTCGCAAATGATTGCATTACTGCTGAGGAGTCGTAAAATTGCTCAACACCTCATTGACTGCCTCTTGAAGAACTTCTCTGCCTTCTTCAAGTCTTGTCTTGTTCAGATGATTTTTTTCTACAAATTCTTCCGGAAGCTTCACGACTTCTAGTTGTATGGAATTGCTGTTGACGGCGAAGACACCGGAATAGTCCTCGTACTGGATACACTCTAACTTTTGGGCATGTCGCACTGTTCTACCAAAAGCGGCCAGAACGGAGTCCCGGCGAACGTTCCCAGGAACGCCAGGATTGGTCCCTCCAAATCTACCGGGTATTCCGTTCCCATTGTTTTGCCATTGCTGGTATATGTTGTCAACAAACGCATGATGAAGGAAAAACATAGGGTCGTTCGGTGCGGTCCCCAGAACAGACATGTCTCCCCCGATTCCAACATGTGGGGAGCCATGGGACGCTTCAAGCGCTGCAGCAAAGCTCGCAAAGGGGACATCTCGCCCGATGAGAGCTTGAATTGTCAACCAGTTGTCAAAACGGAAAATGGAGCCCGATTGAAAAGCATTGAAACCTCGTCGCACGCAATGAGTAATTTGGTGGTCTGTCTGCCAGTTTGCAAAACTACCCCAAGGGATACAACCTGGTTGCCCAGGAGCGGAAGAACCACCAGCACGATTCCATATGGGTGACATCGCCGGGTCGTCTGCATCCACAGCCCAATTCCAATACGGAATTGCGATTGACGGATTCACCTCACGAAGCAGATTTTCGAAAAGGAGAATGAACATACGATGCCAGGGCAAGAAGTACGACCCTCCATGTGCCTCAACGACAAACTCTGTATGTATTCTGGCGAGATCCTCGTACTGGTTAATCGCGGGATTTGCTCGGCTTGGTGTGCTTTTCAATGCGTTTACGGCGTTTGCAAAAGTATCCCACTCTTCATCGGTCATATCACGAATCTCTTTTCTGGTGCGGTCGCCGTTGCATTCGAACAAGTCGTTGTATATCCGAGCAGTTTCGGTCGTCGGAAATGACGCAGGATCAGGCACTTCTTGATTTTGATCCTCGTCCGGGATCGCACCTTGGCTAGCACCTTCTTCAGGATCTTCGGCAGGGGCTGTATTCGGGGCTTGCGGAGCGTCTGGTTCTTGCTCTCCGGGCTCAGGGACGGGAGCGGGAGCGGGAGCGGGAGCTGGAGCTGTCGCAGGAGCGGGGGTTGGAGCGGGGGTTGGAGCGGGGGTAGGAGCTGGCGCAGAAACGGACGTAGGAGTAGGAGCGGGAGCAGGGGCAGGAGCCGGTGGGGGAGCAGGTGCAGGAGCGGGGGTCACGGCGGCCGGGGGTGGAGTGCTTCCTGGACGTCTACACACATTTGACATACAAAAGGAAGCCCCACGGTCACATCTGTCAAACACAAGAAATTCATTTCAGAAGGAGAAAATTTGTGAGCGCCATCGCACAGAGAACCTTCACCTTAGTGGATTGTATTTCTGGCTTGTGCAGAAAAACAAGCCAAAGTTCATCTTGATGTATAGCCTGCCGATTGTAAACTTACCCAATATCGATAATGCATCTCGTACTTGAGCAAGGGAACTGCTCTGGGCAGCAGAGGGCACCACTGGAGCTCTGGAAGCACTGCGCTTTGACTCGGTGAATTGATAGAGCTAGAAGAACGCCTGAAAATACCGTCAAGTGAGAGAGAGCCATAATATTCGAACTAATGTGTTTCAGTAGACGGAGCGCACCGCCCTGAACGCTTCTTGGCAAGTATGCCCTCTTGTGGGGAGCAGCACCTGGCAGAAGAGAAAAAGGCAAATGATTATCTCCTGCAGTTTGTGTCCTACCGGGGAAGGGGCTTGTGTATATTGGCACCACACCTTGGAGTGACTTTGACTAAACAGACATGCCCAGCGCAAGGAAAAGAATTTGGTATCTTGCATCCCCACCTCATGTGAAAGCCACTGTCCGGACCAACTCGTCAGGGCTGGACGTGTGTGGTGGCCTTTGCAAGCTATGGCGAAAGGCGCATAAACTGGACGCGAAGAAATGTGATGGGATCCAACTAGTTTGTTGGAAACTTTGGCCCGTGAGGTAAGTATTGGTTGCGTAGTACAAAAGGCGGCAGAAAAAAATATAGTTGCTGCTCTGGCAAGGGTATGCCCGGTTGTGATATGCGAGGTGGTCTTTGTTGTTAGCAACCGACTCTGCCCTGGGCCTCTGTCCCTGGTGTGCCCTGAGAGAGGGCTTCGTTTATAGTGGTCAGATTCGTACTAGGCGTCGGCCCGGTGGGGGACGAGCCATGTTGGCGTTTGCTGGGCCAAGTTCAAGGTTCGCAAGCATCATGTAGCGGACCCGAGTTCTCGCCCAAACTCAAGGACAATGTGCAGTCTTGTACAACATAGTTTGAAACAACAATAATGAAAATCCCATGTGCAGGCAAAGCACTACAACGTGTCATAGAATCTTCAAGCAAGTGCAATCTACCTTCTTCTCCACATCTTGCAGGATGCAATCAGTGAGGGAGACACTCAATTATTTGTTCACACGGCATCGCAGACTGGTTATTGATAGAAAGATGGAGGTGAGAGCCAAAACGAGTAGTTGAATGTGTAAGGGAGGTGTAATGGAAGTGTATCGATGGGCTAACTCTCCTTTCGAGTCGTGCGTGATTTCTTCCCGAGGGCAACGTACAGAGGCGTCAAGTCGCATTGCTTCCTGCCATAGACATTTTGAGAAGAATTGGCCAGGTTAACCAAAGCCTAGCTGACGGTATCGACGACAGATGCGAGCTGACCGAAGGCCGAGGACAAGGCGAGCTTGAGAAGATGTTGTACCGACTCGGGGCGAGGAGGGTTGCTTGTTGCGGATTAAAGGCTGCCGCTTCCGCTCTCTACCTCTGAGAGGTAGTTTAAAGGATGAGGCTTGGCTGACGAACTAAGAATACATTGGTGGCCCGCAAAGATTTCGGTGCTGCCGATGACAATGCACGGAAAGGAACAAGTTGGATACTTCTCAGATACTCTTGATAATCAGCGAACCGGTGTTTGCATGCCTCTCTTTACTCACGAAAAGCCGCCATGCGCAGCTCACTCGGCAACAAATGTTCGACCCCAACAACGGAAACGGAAACATCTCAACCGAATTTCTCTGTCCGCGCATTACTATACAATTAACAGCACTGTACCCAGTGTATGTCGTCCTCCAGGGCATGGAGATGGCTGCTGAAGAATGGCTGCTGAAGAAAAAAGAGTGAGTGTGATGATCACACTCTTTTTTCTTCGCGCCGAAGCTTGTGTGACCAATACGTATGCAATAGAGTGAGCAAGGCGAGACAGCAAAGTCGCCGACTTTATATAGAAGTGACGTAATCATTTGTCAACATAAGTGTTGACCTTTACAGTCCTGTGGACAACACTTATCTGCCTTCCCTGATGATCAACCTGGTGATATCTCTCCGTACCTTACTGGCTGAGCGCAGCAGCAACGGTGGAAATATGGAGGAGCCGCACGGCACTCCCGATGTACCCCTTACGGAGAGTGCCTCGGTCGTTACGGTGAGGACAACACCGAGCATGGCTGCGAGCCTATTTGGCTGCTTTGAAAAACGATGAAGCCGCCGAATAACAACTCGATGGCGTGCCATGAACATAGCAGTGCTGATGGAAAGAGTAAAGCAGGAATATACCGAGGCGATTACGACGGAGGCAACTGAATTCATCGCTAGGCTTTCCGGTTTCTGGAGACTTGTTGGGCAATTGTTTGCCGAGGTAGTCGTAGATAGGCAGGGCACTTAACATTTATAGGAGCAGTGGGTCATTACATATCTAGTAAGGCACTGCGCACAACTAACAACTGCAATGGTGAGGCAAGGGCTGTTTCGGCCGTCGTCGGAACCAGCTCCAGTGTATGCTGTGAGTAGCATTTCCGGACTTTGACGGCTAAGGAGTGGAGGTAGGCGAAGAGTCTTGTGCGCAGATTACGGCGGGCGTTTGCGAGGGAGCATCCAGAGAAGTTGGTTCGCAAGAGCATGTGCCTGCTCGACGAGGACCTCAATATTTTTTTTGCTGAATGCAGGGCCTCAGCATGGACGGGTTATGACTTGTATCCAATCTCAGGAGACGTTGAACAACGGGCAAAGCATGCTCGTTCTCGGGCGATAGAAGCCCCATGTTCTTCCAACAAATACAGTGCATGCCCGAGCAGGAGCGACGTCCATGTCCAAATGCAAAACCCTGAGGCTGGACATGGGTTCGACCCAATCCGACGAACGAGAAGCCCACAAGCAGCTTCGAGGAGCTTTCAGGCCTGGCGCTCAGAAGAATACGATGTCTTGTTATTTATAGATGACAATATATACTTATATATATATATATATGTATATATAATACAGAAATGCGAATGACACAAATGGGCCCCCTGGATTTGACGTGTGTGTGGATGGGTGAAGATCGGAGGGACGCGTTTTCACGGGTCATGAGCCGAGTTTGGGTCGTTTGTTGTTGAGAATGCATTTTACAAGGACCGCGTTCGGCCTCAAAAGACGTCTTGTTCTCCACAATTCAAATGGGACCGGGTTTTACGAGTGATTCTTTGGCAAATGGTTTTTTCAGCGGTCTTCTAGGGAAAGTATCTAGCATGCGACCCTGTCCTTCCTCCTGGCTTTCTACATGGGGCCAATATGCGTCATGTTTTCAATGGTGCTCTACCGTATGTGTGTGACACAAGCATATCCTACGCCCTAACAGGGATTCACCGCCGCAGAACGTGCCGCACGTTCCAACATCAATGGTGCAGCCGCCACTGTGATCCAGTGCGAGGTTTACAGTCGAGAGCCGCTCAGCCTTTCTTTTATGTGTACAGGGTAAAGTTTATGCCCTTCAAAAGAGATAATCAAAGACGGAAAGCAATCGCATTCATACCAGCGCTACTGTATGTGAGGCACTCAACTGACACCGAGTTCCTGTAAATAATGTTAATAACATTAATTTTAAAGCCTGAATTTTGAGTGCGGTCAAAATATATTTTGCAGGCGTAGCCAGAGACAGCGACAAGAGTCTTGTTGTATTTCACATTAATTGTTCCCTTGGGTAAAGTTAACTGGGTTTCAGCTATTTCTTTCGGACTTTCGGACTCAGATTGAGTATACACGTGTGCACCTGGCAACGCCGTTGAGACAGGAGAAGGCGCCAATAATATTTGCAGTGGATGTACGAGCAATGACAAGGTGCATTGCTGCACGAAACCCAATAAAGGCTTGAGAAATTGTAGATCCCCAGGTAAAGTTTAACTTTAGCAGGAGCAAACCCCCCCGCTCAGTGACTTGAAGCCCCACATGACCAAAACCAAAACGGTCTGCAATCTGTTTGCGTGACGCATGTTGTGTGCCTCCTTCAGCAATTGCTGCTCTGCCTGCCATCTTCCCCGTCATTTGTTCCTGCACGTGTAGATCCTGTCTGACCGTGCGGTTCTTCACTTGACCGTACGTGGCTGCCCTTCTTTCGACGTCGAAAAACGACACAGCCCGCTGATTGAAAGGCGTCGACCTACGGAGATATATATATACCCACAAAGTGTGCTGGCATCAGTCTCGTTCCAAGGGACAGCGTAGAAGATTGCGAACGTGGTCAGGCAGAGCACATTATCTTAGTCCAACTTCAGTCATAATTTATTGTCGGTTTCTTTCTATACCACTATTTTCTACCTACACACAAAGCATGCCGTGTAGGCAGCTTAGTTGCCGAGAGCAGAGGCTTGGTTGACGATGTCAAAGATAGATGCAACTTGACCGATGATGCCCTTCCCAGTGATGACCTCGGTGGTGAGCCCGAGCACGAAGCCAATCATAGCTGCACGCCCGTTCAGCTCCTCAGAGAAGGCAGTGAAGCCCTGGGGAATCTTCGGCAGTGACGGCACGGTAGCTTTCTTCTCGATATCGTCCATTGACATGGCGAGGGCCGCACGGCGAGTCGGGGTGGCGATCGGCGTGCGACGAGGGTTCAGGGAAGAGGAGGCCAACGCGGAAGAAGCGCGACCAAGGACGGGGGCGGCGGAAACGAATGCGGTGGTGGAGTTCATAATTCAGTGTTGAGTTGGTGAGAGTCTGGGATAGGGAGAAGAATGTGAAGGTTTGTGTTGAGGTGAGGATTGAAGTGGGAGTGGTGAGATGGCGAAACGGAGGTCGGGGAACAACGATTTTATAGGGTTTGTTACTTGCTGAAAATGCTTGCATTCAAGAGCACTACAGTGCGTTCAGAGACAGAAACTCACCGAAATGCAAAGTAGATTGCGACCGCATCGTAGTGGATGAGAGGTATTCCATGCTTTGCGCTCACCAATGAAAGTAGACTGCAGGTGGTAAACTAAAACGTCAACGTCAAACCCCACATACGTGCGGCGCAGAACATGCGACACGAAATGGATTCAGTTGGGATCGGCAGCTGAGATCCGCCGGATCAGGGCAGACAGGCAACGCTTGACAGGCTGATTTTCGACCGCCTGAGGTGAGATAGCCGAGATTCTCCGTTGCAAACCAAAGGTGGCGGAAATAACGGTCAGGGGTGGCGCATCTCATCAAATGGGAGGCCGAGATGGGCTCCTCAAGAATCAAAACGGTTAAAACACTATTAAAAATTTCCGTTGTTTCAGTGATGATTATCTACAAAATGGGCTCTCACTGAATTTTCCTTTTTTAAATTTTTTTATGCTTTTGAACCTATGAAACCCGTTGCATTTGTCGAACTGGTCCCGAGACAAGCAATAGAGAGTTAGAGCATCTCCAATGGTTCTGAACAAATCAACAAAATACTTAATTTGACAATTTGATCAACCAAAGACACCCCCAACGGTACGAAAAAAAGGCAAAAAAATAGCAACTCACAAAAAACTCGTGACCAAATCGGGCTGATTTGGTCCCATGCACATCGCAGTCAAACTATTTCACTTTCCAAGTGCCGATCAGATATTGGATAAAAATTGGCGCGAAGACCGAAATACTCTACAGCTCACTAGGCCACTTGTGCAAATAGAATGGGCATGCGCATTTACGAACTGTATACTGTACGCACCTGCGCAAATACGGTATAGGCATTGTCATTGCCAACATACTCAACCATTTATCAAATTATAAATATTTTGGATTGCAAGCAATGTGAATTGAGATTACGAAGTCAAATTGTGCGCTTTCCGTAATATCCAAATTGCGCGGTCTTTTAGGAAGTCTCCCGCTCTTTTCCAAAACGATACAGTAACTTCGGAAGAACAGAGGTCTTCTTCAAAGTACACACCCCACCGCATCAAAAGCCCTTCCCCATGTCTCCCTTTACTTCAACTAACGCAGCTACTGCCCTCTCTCTACTCGCAGATGCAGCGGTAGAGAGAGAGAATGAAGTCGAGGTGCAGCTGTCTCAACCGCTCCAAGAGGACACTGACAAAGAAAACGGTTCCGAGTGTCCCATCATGGACACTTTTTATGATCAGGGCGGGGCAGAAGGTATCAAGGAGATGACTAACTTCTCCCCAATGCAATTTGAAGGGGTTTGGGAGGAGTTTAAGGGGCACATAATGTCCGAATATAATGTCGGACGAGGACGGATATGTGACAACACCTACAAATACTATTGGTAACTCCTAGGTCTTTGAGAAATATCCACATGTTAATGTGGGAGCCCCATATTTCCGGATGTGTTCTACAGTACATCACCTCAAAATATCCCTCCTAGCATCACTACCACCAACGTTCTCACCTCGATCGACATCCCCGATACGATGTCACATTCTGCAGCGTCCAAACTGGACAAATTTGCAATTGATACTGAGAACAACACAAAAAGACCACAAGGGGATCAAGTTTCACCCTGACTGAAGATGCGGCCATTGTTATGGCCTGGATATCAGCATCGGAGAACCCTGTTATAGGTGCTGAGCAGAAGAGTGCTTCGTTCTTTACATGCATCGCTGAGCTCTATAATGAAAAGTTTAAGCCGGCCAACCGGGAGTTCAGATCTATAGAGCCTGTCAAAACAAGTAGCAGGGCCATACACAAAGAATGCATGCGATTCTCTGGATGCCATGTTCGAGTAGTACGTTTACAGCCAACAGGAGCTTCTACGGGTGACATTTTAAACATGGCCACCGCATTGTACAACAACTTGGAGATGGTGAATTACAGGGATGATTTCGGGAAACCATTCCGATTCATGCAGGTTTGGAATATCCTCAGGAAGCATGACAAATTTATGGCTGTAGATGTCGAAGACAGTGGAGAAACATCCAATATGTCGGTGTCAACAAAGCATGGGGCACCTAGATGGAATACAAATGGTGCTACTGTGCTTGAAAGTAATGAGATTGAGCTATTACAGCGGCAACAACAAAGACCAATAGGTCGAAAAAGAGCAAAGCAGGAGAATGAAAAATCAAAGGTTACTTCAAAAAAGTTGCGTCTAGCTGCCGAGACCGTTGAAGCACAACGTGAACGCAATCAGGCTTTGAAACGACATTATGAAATTATGTCGATTACAAGCGCCCTGTGGTACAACCGTAGGGACGCTAAACCGCAAACGGAAAAGGACAGGCTGTACCTAAAAATGAGGGAGCCTGGGGAACCGCTACACTACAGCGTCAGGTAGAATAATCCGGAACGGTAGGAAGCACTGGACCAAGGAGGTACACTACGCAGGACACGCGCAGTCGTTCTGGGGTGTAGAGCAGTACGACGGGTGGCGAGCTGGAAACCTGAGGGTCTTACTTAACCGTACGGAGAAAGGACCAGGGTAGGAAGTAAGGGGAGGCGTGCTTACCTCGGTTTACCTCCAGCCCGGTGCCCCCCAATCTTATACCCTGTAGTAGGGCGGTGGCACCGGACGGACTACAGTAGCTGTACATACTGTAGCCAGCTTACTGTAGCTTACGGTAACTAAAAATGACTACTGTACTAACCCACCGATCGGTCGCGCACTACGTGTACACCTGCACTAGGTGGTGTCACTAAGTACACGTGGACTCCCACGTGGCCACATCTACACGTGCTGGCCACGTATGCACCATATCGGTTAACATCTTACTACTGTACTCGGCGAGGCCCTTGGCGCCCACCTAGTACAATAGCGCCACTTGGCAATTGTACCACACGCCCCATCTACTTGTGACACAGCGGAGGCTGTTGAATACTTCAATATCATGCACGCTCGCGCTTTGCGAGACATCCGCAAAGAAGAGGGAATCAAGGTATCAGAAAAAGACACATCAAGCGGTTCTGCGGTAGAAAGCGAAGCGAATGAGAGCGATTGAGAAAAAAACAAATGGATCATAACTAATCGCCGTGCGCTTTTCGCGGCCTCGTTCCTCGGCCAGCCGCCGCTCCGTGGACTTTGCACGCGGCCGCGAAAAGAGCACATAGCGCGCGAAGCGCGCGGCGATTGCGATCATTCCCTCCCTATCTTCACCCAAATATGTTCCATGACGAGCATTCTAGTGTTAAAATATTCTACTTCATCACTTGTGAAGCGTGAGAGAGCACCAATAGCTGGAACGGTTCCGGGGGGAGGGTCCGATCCTATTTGTCCACCATGAGCCCACATTGGAACAGTTCCGTCTCCGATTACAATATCACTCCCTGCAGCTTCAGTAGAGTTTGTCGCATCTCCTTCGTGAATACGATCTTCTACCATCATGTTATGCAGAAGCACACAACATTTCATGTTGACCTTCATAGAACGCGTGTAGCAGGAGCGGCTCGGTCCAGCGACGATATGCCATTTCCCCTGTAAAACCCCGAACGCTCTCTCAACATCCTTTCTAAACCCTTCTTGGCAGGCGGCCATGAGCTTTTCCTTTCGCGTTGTCGGTTGGGAGACTGTCTGGACAAAACAAGGCCACCTCGAGTAAATTCCGTCAGCAAACCAGTAAGGTATGCTCCGCTTTTCTCCGTTTATCTCGTATTCGAGCGATGGCGGATATGTTCCGTCCGCAATCTTGTTGGAGAGAGTTGAAGCTTCCAACACATTGATGTCGTTAGCACAACCTGGCATGCCAAAGAAATAATGCCATATCCAAAGCTGGTCATCTGCTATGACCTCGACCGTTAGCGCCGCCTCACCCTCTTTGCCTTGATACTGACCATGATACGCAGTTGGACAGTTCTTCCAGTACCATTTTGCACAGTCAATGCTCCCCATCATACCCGGTAGTCCCCTCGCTTCTGATCGAGCCAAAATCCTTCGTAGGTCCACGTCACTAGGTGCTCTCAAATACTCCTCCTCGAAACAACACACCACGCTATCGCAGAACCTGCCCGAACACTGCAGCACAGTTGACTCGCTGATACGTAGGCATTCATCCAATGAATCTGCGGCAGATCCATACGCTAACTTACGCAATGCTGCAGTAGCTTTTTGGTAGTAAGTTAAACCTTTCCTACTAGTACAGTCTTGGCGCTGTGTAAAGAAAGGATCATGCACTTCAAGTGCATCTTTGATTCTTTGAAAAACTTCTCGAGACAGCCGAAATCGCATTCGGAACTGCTGGTCGCTGTACACAGAAGGTTCCGCGAAATAATCTTGAAACAGTCGCAGAGCAGTGCTTGTCTTCCTCGTTTAAGGTTCGGAGCCCTGCCAACACGTGAGCCACCATGTTTGCGCGGCATGTCGTCATCACTGCTGCTAGTGGGCAGCGTATCAACAAGGTGGAGCAGCTGATCATCAGCCATCTCCTCGACGTACGGGTTGTCCATGTGAATAGCGGCTCACCGCTGGGGCTGACCCTGTGTAGTATAACACCCCCCAACGGAGAGGGGTGTATACTCTGCTCGACGTAGACCCCGCACGAGGGGCGTGAAGACGGGGAGAACACACAGCTAACGAGACAGGGAACCGGGCCCTGGTAGCGTGGTAGAGCGGGACGATCGGGGACGAGCGTACGCGCGGGCCGATCTACGCTTCGACGCCCCGGAGCAGCGCTGGGTAACGTACCAGCGCTGACGGGCGGAGGCGGATCTAGGCTCGCTCGCGTACGCGGCTGTCCCCTACCCGCTTTGTCCCGTTTAACGCGGGCGAAGACGGATCGCGCTCGTTTGTTAAGCTGGAAGACGGACCTAGGCGGTAGGTCGTGGACAAGTCCGTGCTTGTCCCCCTACCCCGCCGCCGGTCGCGCTCGTATTTAATGTATACAATGCGTCTATCATAATACAACAGTACCGGGATGGTGTAGTAACTTACTGTAGCGCGGGTCGTC